CATGGCGGTCGCGATAAACTCCCGCTTCTCAATGATCGCCACTGGAACATTCGGGTGCGTGGAATATCTAGTGCTGTGCTTTTGACCGAACAAGCTAACCCTCAGTGACTGTAGGGGCGTCGTAGAACTGAATAATTTTCCCTCTGAAGAGAGCCCTTCACCGAAGGCGCAGACCCTACAAATCCCCAGCATGTATGCACGGGATGGCACAGGGCCTGTGCGTGCGATGGAGTGGAGCTCAGACGGATATGTCCTTGCGGTAGGGTGGGAGAAAGGCTGGGCGGTCTGGAGCGTGGGCGGTCGGTGTCTCGCTTGGGGATTTGGGGTGGAATATGAGGTAGACGACGAAAAGTGAGTCCCAAATTAACCTATGTGCGAATGTATTGACATGGTTGTCTCAGATTCCAGGACGCTTTCATGTATGGTGTGAATGATCTAGTACGGACTCTCCTCTGTCAACATATTAAATCTGATGTAACATGTGTACAACAGTTCTGGGCCCCTGGTAATTTTGAGCTCGTTGTCCTCGCAGGATCGGCACCGCCTAAAAGTAGGTGCCTGTGTATTCTCTTGTAGGATCCGAGAGATTTATCGCGTTATAGAGCCCGACGGGCAGCTTTTTATAATCCCTTTCGCCAAGAGTGCTACCACTGGCCAACACTCTCCGGTGAGAACTAAGTTTCCATCAGATAACCGGTCTTGTGACACATCTACTGTGACATAGGACAACACGCAATATGCGTTCCTTCAGATGGACGACCGCGTGCTAGTGTACCGCGGAGCCGATCAGCCAGACATGAGTGTAATTAATCCCGAATCCGATGTCTGGCAGCATGTCAAAGTTCGTAGCCCTTTGACGTTTCCTGCGTGCAATGAAGCAGAACTTGCATAGATCCCTCAATCCTACCTCTCAACCAATTGGCCCATACGCTACTCGGCATTGAGTGCAGACGGCCGTCTTATCGCAGTTGCCGGTCGGCGCGGTCTCGCGCATTATAGTACGACGTCTGGGCGCTGGAAGATGTTTACCGATGAGATACAGGAACAGGCATTCATTGTCAAAGGTGGTCTACTCTGGTTCCACCATGTCTTGATAGCCGCAGTGGACGTTTCGAGTAATCACCAGGTACGGTAAACCCTAAAACCTCTCGCTAATGATTTGACCTCGCATCAGTAGATTCGTCTGTACTCGCGCGACCTCGACCTGAGCAACCAAAACGTACTGCATCGCGAAATTATCTCCTCGTCCGTCGTTATTCTCTCTCTGGTCGATAATTCTCTGCTCGTGTACACAGTGGACAACACGCTCCATCACTATCTAATTATCCCAACGGAAGACACGATCAAGCTCCATCTTTGCGGGACTATCAGCTTCAATGGCGTCATAGCCGCTCCCGGGGCTGTCAGGCTATTAAGTTGGATGATCCCCAGCGCGCAGAAGCGTACGTGTGCATGTAATACTCGGTGTTGTATGTTCAGACTCATGCAGTCGTGTAGAACTTGGTGATCCTGTGGAAGACCTCGCGGTCGCTACCGTGCTGATGATAGTCGGCGGCAAGCTAGTTCTGTTGAAGCCAAGAAGAGTGCGTACGACGTCTAGTCGGACGGGCGTTTCTCTGATAACCATGACTACAGTCTAGAGACGAAGAGGTTAAGTATGACATACAGATTCTGGCGGATCGCATCGAATTCTGCTGGATACACTTGCGGGGGATTGGTACTCTTGAGAATTCACTGTGGGGATATGACGGCAAGGGAATCCGGCTTTGGCTGAATGCGCTGAACATCGAGTCTCCAACCTCCGCTGCGATCGAGGTTGGAGCGCCCCAGGAAAGCGTCAAGGAGAGCGTCAATATACCGCTTGAGTTTTATCCTCTGTGTGAGTATTTTGACATGTCATCTGGAAAAGATGGTTGAAATCCTGCGACAGCTGTCCTGATGGACAAGGGGATTATAATTGGTGTGGAGTATGAGGCTGCGACGAGGGCGAGTCTATCCTTCACAATGTTCAGACAGGTCACGAGTGTGAGTGAGATGTTGGGCGTTTGTATCTCTTGAAATTTGATTCTTTTCAGTCCCACCTCTTCTTGAATCATGTCTTATTCTCGCATCTGGAGAGTGGGCAGATGAGAGAGGCCATTAGCTTCGCGTCACATTACCAGCACTTGGTCTTCTTTGCACACTCGTTGGAGATTATGCTACACAGCGTCGTGGAAGAGGATGCTACCGCCCAACACGAAGCGCGAGTGGATGGTGGGGCTGCGCAATGTCAGAGTTTATTGCCGGATGCGGTGGAGTTTCTCGACCACTTCGATGTCGCTTTGGATGTGGTGGTGAACTGCGCGCGTAAGATCGAAATGACAAGATGGCCGCGGCTGTTTGATATTGTAGGCAACCCAAGGAGTCTCTTCGAGGTCCGTCGCCGTTGCGCTATCACCATAATCTAATTTAACTGAAGCTCTCCTAGCTATGTCTCTCATCCAGCCGACTGAAGACAGCAGGGTCGTTCTTGCTAGTCTTGCACAACCTGGACCAGCTTCATGGTGATGGTATGGATGGGGACGCCGTGAGGCTGCTGAAGAGTGCCATCGCAGTGAAAGATTACCAGTTATGCCGGGAGATTCTGCGGTTCCTGCACTTTGTTGACGAGACGGGCGGTGCGCTGCGGAGTGCGCTGGCGGAGGCGCAGATTGTGCCGGCGTTGAATGGGGTCGCAGTAGGGAATGGCTTGCACTGAATGTATCGGTAGAATGGATAGTGTACTTATTGTTTTCGGGTCGAATCTGAGTATTATTTGTGGTTTTGGCGTGTACTGGAATCAAGAGGGCGCATGGCCACGTGGTCTCTCGATCAGCTCGTCGGACACCGACGATCGAGGCGGGGGGGGGTTGGTCATG